CAATTGCAGGCAATTTTCACTGAGGACAGGATTCATAGGAGTCTCCCTGGAGAGAGAACACTGAGTCCAAGATGGCAGGATGAAAAGTCCCATGAGTCCCTTTTCGAAAAGACAGAAGCATTGTAGATGTGACTTCTATGTAGATTTTAAAGCTAACTTGGGCAGTTTCCATGCTTTGCCCCATTTCCAATTTATGAGCAAGCATTTGCATGGTGGTCCTGTTGTCTGGTCCATTTTGCCCCATTAGTCACTTTCTCAGTAGGAAAGCTCTTATTTGTTACCTCATGCCTTGGCCTTTTGGCTTGCTTTAAAGGTCCTGACAAACATCCACTTTATTACCAGAGGATATTTTAGGCACTGCAGGTAATTTTCTTTAAAGCATGATTTAGCAGCTCTATTGGTCTGAGCTGACTTGTGTAGAAAGAAATGTGTTCCAGAGGAAATGGTAGCGCTGGATCTCTGGGAATTCTTGACTCTTTGAGGCACGCGGCTCTCCTTCTCTCAGTCCCTCTCTCCCTTTTTGTGGCATTTTCTTTTAACATCGGCCCTTTTCTCAGAGCCACTTAGTAGCTATGTAGCAAACACCTACTTAATTTTAATTTAAGATAAGGTCTGAGACTTTTCCCTAAAGCCTTGCAGATGTTTACAGGAGCAGAAAGCTGTCAACCTTTCTGATACGGCTTGAAAGACGATATTCTTTCTTGTAATGTTTGTTGCAATAGCTAGTTTTCCAATTCTACACACATGGATTTAATCAGTTAGGTCTAATGAGTTTCTGCCCTTCCTTTATTTTTTTTAAGATTTTATTTATTTATTTGGCAGAGAGAGACACAGCGAGAGAGAGAGAGAGCACGAGCAGGGGGAGTGGGAGAGGGAGAAGCAGGCTTCCCGCAGAGCAGGGAGCCCGATGCGGGGCTTGATCCCAGGACCCTGGATCATGACCTGAGCTGAAGGCAGATGCTCAACGACTGAGCCACCAAGGCACCCCTCTGCCCTTCCTTTAAAGCATTAGTTCAACCAAGGCAATTTTGTCCCCCCAGAGAATATTTGGCTAGGTCTGGAGACATTTTTGGTTGTCACATCGAAGGGCAGAACTATAGGCATCTAGCGGACAGAGGCCAGGGATGCTGCCAAACATCCCACAATGCACAGGACAGCTCTCACCACAAAGACATTATCCAGTCTAAAATGTCGAGGTTTCTAAACCTGGCTGCCCATGAGAATCACTTGTGGGCTTTAAAATTCTAATGCTCAGATGCTCTCTAGACCAAATAGAATAGAGTCATTGGCTAGGACTGGCTATGAAATTGCAGCCCAGTGCAAAATAAAAACGCGGGGACACTTACTCAAAAATTAGTAAGAATTTTAAGATGGTGACAGTAGAGCATTAGACTAAGGGCAGGGCCTTCTGAGTGTTGGGGCCCTGTGTGCCCACACAGATCTTCCACACATGAAGCTGACGGCGTTCTGGGGGATGACCTGGGCATTGGTAGTTTTAAAAGCTCTCAAAGCGGGCCAACGACTCACTAAACAAAATATACAGATGGCAAATGAGCATATGCAAAGATGTTCCACATCACATATGATCGAGGAAATGAAAACAGCAATGAGATACCACAATACACCTATGAGAATGGCTAAAATCCAGAATGCTGACAACATCAAATGCTGGTGAGGATGTGCGGTAATAGGAACTCTGACTCACTGCTGGTGGGAATGCAAGAATGTACAGCCACTTTGGAAGACATTTGGGCAGTTTCTTACAAAACTAAACACTCTTACCATATATCCAGCAATCATGCTCCCTGCTACCTATCTAAAAATGTTTAAAACCTATGTCCACATAAAAATCTGCACACAGATGTTTAGAGCAGCTTCATTCATAATTGCCAAAACTTGGAAGCAACCAAAATGTTTTTTGTAGGTGAATGGACAATTAAACCTTGGTACATCAACGGAATATTACTTAGTCAATGGAATATTATTCAGCATTATAAAGAAATGAGCAACTGAGCTGTGAAAAGACAGGGAAGAGCCTTGAACTTATATATTACTAAGTGAAAGAAGCCAACCTGAAAAGGCTACATACTGTATCATTCCAATCATATGACATTCTGGAAAAGGTAGAACTATGGAGACAGTAAAAAGATCAGTTGTTGCTTGGGGTTGGAGCATGGAGGACTTTTAGGGCAGTGAAACTGCTCTGTATCACGTTATAATGGTGGACACACGTCATTATACATTTGTCCAAATCCAGGCAATGTACAACACCAAGATGGTAAGGTCAGCTATGGACTTTGGATAATCATGATGTGTCAATGTAGGCTCATCAATTGTAACAAATGTGCCATTCTGGTGGGAGATGTTGATAATGGGGGAGGCTATGCATGTGTGGGGGCAGGGCATATATGGGAAATCTCTGTACCTTCCGCTTAATTTTGTGGAGGAAAAAAACTGCTCTAAAAAATAAAGTCAATTAAAAAACCAAACCCTCCAGGTGATTTCAGTGTGCAGCCAGCGCTGAGAGCACGGTTCTCCAGCATTTATCGTCTGTCTCCTTCCCTGAACACTCAGCGTGTGTGTATGTACTGGCCCATGTGTGACTCATCTTTGTACCTGGACACAGAGCCTCACAATTAGGAGACGATCAATGAGCATGGCCTTTATCATCCATTCTAAACTTACATGTGTACAGGTCACTCTGGCTTCCCAGCAGGCTTTGGCATTCATAATCTTGTTTGCTCTTCGCATCAGTCCCGTGGTTGCAGAGCAGGTGTGAGGACACTAGTTTGAGATGAGGAAACCGGTGTAGAGAGAGTAGGTGACCAGCCCAAGTCACACCCCTGTGAGGGGCCGGGCAAAGCCTCCAACCAAGTCTCCTGGTTTTTCAGGTGAGGGCGGCTTCCTGCGTGTTACAGAATCCCCCTCACTTTTATTCCAGGTTTCCAAAGTGTGGCACAGAAGTGCCGTTTGGTGGCACGAGGCAGGAATGCCAGTGGCCCAGGGTAAGCTTTAAAACAAAACCTGTTTATTTACTTCTTTGAATATGTATTAGGGAAAAAAAATAGCGAGCATGTCAAGTCCGTGGCTTGTATTACTGCTGCAGAAATGGTTACATGCAAATTTTTAAAATGAGTTGATTTAAAGAAAAATATTAATCACATAATAGTAGAGCGTGCTGCAGGTATGGAGCGACGACAAAGCTGTTTTAAATCTTTGTAGTTTATAATGAGAATAGAGTGAAATCGTGTGAAAGAGCTTTGTAATCATAGACAAAGCAGTCAAATTACGATTGTGGCTTTTGCGTCCTCACTCCTTGAAACTTGCCCCTGGTGTATCCTCCCGGTGTATCCTGCCATTTTTCTCCAAACTAAGTCTTGGCCATCAGGTGAAAGTGTGTGGTTGAAAAAAAAAAGAGAAAAATATGTAAACTGAAATCTATAGTTCCTTTCTTTGGGTGGCTTCGTTTTCCTCTTTATTGTAGATCTATCAAATTCTAAGATGAGTTCCCAGTTTAGAACCAAGGGATTTGGAATTTTATAACAATAACAAGTCCCTTCTCTGTCCAGGGTATATTCAAAGTACGGTCTTTCATGTTCATGCAGTGGAACTCTTTGCATCCTAAATATGATGAAGGACATATCTTCATTGACACATACAGATATGTGTTAAGTGATAAAAATTGGGTTTCCAAAGAGTAGCATAGGACATATTTATATAAGAAAGAAAAAGAGAAGGACGCATTGCTGAAAGGATTGACCCCTGGGTGATGGGAATGGGTTCATTTCTTTTACTTTTAGCTTCTCTGCCACTTCTCATTTTTCTATGATGGGCCTAGATTTCAAACTCAAGGAATAATAAGCAAACTTTAAACAGGCTTGTATGCAAAATGTACTTAATTCTGCTACGGTCAAACTCTACTTCTCTGGTGCCCTCAGATACATGATTTGTAGGTATAACAAGTTGCGGATTTCATGAATAAGGCATTGTGGCTGGAGCCAAGAGCAGGAGGGAAGACGAGTGAAGCTCTGGATATAAAAGGATCTTCTAAAGCCTGAAGTCTTGTGCCCACGAAAGGGATTTTGAGCTGAACTGGGAGAGTGAAGGACAGGACAGGGCACTGAGCAGCAAGGCCCTCATTTACTGCTGGTGGTTGGGAGAGGCTGGGGCCGGGACAGGGCCGGGGGGTTGTCAGCATCCTACTGAATTACATCCCAGCTAATTTCATGGCCACTCCAGAGAAGCCTGGCTTTTTCACAGAACCCACCTTGCCTTGCCTGGGTTTTAGGATGGAGATCTTTGTGAAAATATCACAGAAGCATCTTTGATTTGTGGTTTGGGGTGGGTGTATTTGCTTTCTCACCCTCTCTCCTGTTTATTTCTGCAGAGTCATATCTTACTTAATTCTCTGGTTATGTTTTTCAACGGCACATTCTACTTTCTGAAGGTTGTCAGAGGTTGTAAATCCCCTGAGCTGGAAATCATTTTGAGAGGAGTTTCATGGGGTGGGGGGGGTGGGGGGCAGGAGGCTTTTTTTCCCCAGTGATTTTTTTTTAAGCTTTAAGCAATAGATTGAAAATATGCATTCATTTGCATAAACAAAGGATTGGGAAGATACCCATGGGCTGCTGACAGAATTGATTTCTGAGAAGGAGGCCTGTAGCTGGATGGGGATAAAGGATGCTTTCCTTTCATCTGTATATTTCAAGTATTGTTTTTCAAAAAAGTTATTTGCCTCTTACTTATATTACCTGTACTCTATATACATAAAAATGTATACAATAAAAGATGAAGCAAGTACAGTAGACTTAGATATTTACATTGAGACTCTGAGAGTCTCTCTGTTTGTGTATGTGTATGTGGTGGATGGGAGGTGTGCAGGAATATAGTAAAGGAAAAAGTTAGCTCAGATTTTTCATTGTCTTAATATAGAGAGTGAAAAAAAATATATCAAAACACTGACACTCTGGTTGTGTGGTTGCGAATCAGAACACACTTACCTGCGAAAGCCTGTCATCCTCTGAGGCATCCTTATACCACTGCAAATACCCGACGTCACTGCGGGTCAGGACTCCATGTAATATTTCTTGCGACTTTCCCTTCTGATAGCCATTAAAGACATTTGGACTTGCTCTTCCGGTTAGAATCATGTTCAAAACGGCCTAGATGATATAGTTTACAAATATTTACATGTTAGGTAGCAATGACAGAAGGACTTAATTTTTTTTTCTTTTAATAATCGCTGAAAAATTACCAGTTTTACTTAAAAGAATGAAATGACATAATATCTAATTCGGGAAAAACAGGTCATCAACATTTGTTATGGTTAACACAAAACTTGAGTGACTTTGTTTCTTGAGCCAAACCCCATAGATCCTCACGTGCCCCACTCAGATCTTACTGCCATTCTTCTCTTTCCATTTCTTTTAAACTCTGCTTTCTGTAGTTGTGATTTTAGAAGCAGTACGCTCAGCTGTTGTTATAGTACTTTTCTTTCCATTACTAGGGATTCCTGGTGGGTCTTGTCAAGGTATTTTCTAATGGGTCTGTAGAATTGCAGGGATGTGGGGCTCTCAGAGGTAAACTGGGAAGACCGTGGTGGAAGTTGGAAGGTAGACTCTGATAACAAACTCAGGGGAGCATCTTCTTAGTCTTTCAAAGATAACTCGATCACTCTTCACTTCAAGAGAGAATATGCTTAATTGAAAAACAAAACAAAACAAAAGCCTAATTCAGATTCTGCAATAGAAAGGCAAAGTCTCCCAACCTACCTGCCTGCACAGGAAGCCCCCAGCACTTGGTTGTAACAGATGAGCTGTGGAGGCATCTAGGTCCTTCTGAAGCCTGCAGAATGCGAGATGCCATCAGCCTTCAGTCAGAGACAATGACTGCACCAGGAACCTGCAGCCTATCCTTCCTCTGCCTCCCAACACAGAGCAGCAGTTGAGTGGGTTCGCCCAGTCACTGTCCCTCCTGTGTGCCTTGCACCTTTTTGTCTCTCACCGGAAAAGTCTCTGGGATGGAGGCTGCAGAGGTGATGGGAAAAGCTAGGGATGCATTTGGGGGAAGCTGCTGATAAGGGAGAAGGCTGAAGTGACAGACTCCATGTATGCTCTGTGTGGGTGCTGGGCACAGTGGAGAAACTATTTGTTCCAAGTGACAAGGGATGCTTGGCTTAGGGGAGTGACACATGACCACTCCAGAGAGTGCTGGCCCAAGACTGAGTTGAACAGACTGTTCAAGTGGAAAATACCAGTTTGGGGGTGAAGCCCATTTCCTGACTGCAGAAGGGCAACCTCTACTGTTTCAACAGGGAGCAGGGCTCATGGTCCTACCCTGGACCATGTGAAGTCAAAGTGGAATGGGGCTCCAGCTCTCACACAGGGAGAGGGGCTGAGTACTGGTGTGTGAGCTGTAATGTGCTCTTGAAGGAACCTATTCACAGGACTGGAGGTCATGCCCTTCTGTGAATAGGGACCAAAAACTTGGGTCAAGCACAGTGAGTGCCTTGGTGGCATCAGATATAATTCAGGGCAGCGTTGCCCAAAGTGTGGCATGATTTAAAAAAAAAATTACAGTGATGTGCTTAATGCATTTCTCTTTAGTACAACAAATACATGATTAAAAGGATATGGATGTTTAGGAAGAAGTTAATATGTAAATATGTGTTGATTTAAAGAAAACTGTTAAGCAAATAATAACACAGACCACAAAAATGTGGTGACGTTCTGCAAAAGACAAGTGTTAGGAACACTGCTTCCGGGCTTGTAACTCTTCCTTCCTAGAGGCTCTCTCTCTCTCTCTGACTCTCAAGAGGTTACCTTCCTTTCAGAGCCCAGAAGTTCTTCTAAGAAGCCTTCCTCTACTAGTCTGTCTGCTGGGACCCTTCCTCCTCTGGAATCCCCTAAGACTCCTTGTCTTTATGCCTCATTTGGTACATGAATTACCACCTGCACCATGCCTGGTATCTCTGTGTATAACTCCTGTCTTTCCCAGACTGGACCCTGCAGGTCAGGCCATCTCTTCTTTTATTTGTATTTCCCACGGTGCCAAGAACAGGGCTTTGCATATCATAGAAACAAAATAAATACCTGTGGATATATCTTATTGTGCACATAAATAATAAAATGTTTTTTATTATGAAAATTACATGAAGAAGCTTTGGTGTTATCTGTCAATATTTATAACCACCAGGAGAAGGAAGCCATCACTGTCCTAGAAAAGCAGATTCAAACCTTCCTGATGACATCCACTCACCCATTAATATGGCCAAACCGACTACAGAAAAGGATGAATCAACAGAAGAGCATCCACTAGAAAAAAAACTGTACTCCTGTTCCCAGTAGGCCATGAAAATATTTTCCAACCCAAGAATACATCGCTTATGTGATCACAGAGCTATAGGAAATGCCCGTGCAAATATTTGTTGAATTTACCTTTCAAATGTTCTGGAGAAGATGAGGCTGTAAAGAAACAAGATGACACCGTGGCTTCCTTCCCCTTTGAACTGTTTGGGGGGACAAAAATAAAAAAGCATGTTTGGCTAAAAGCAATGCAGCTATGTATATCTCTAGGCATTAATTCAAGGATTTATAGCCCAAGAACCTAGAAAAGCTGCTGATAGGACAGTTTCCCAGAGTCATCTTCACTCTCAAATGCATCCTTCCTTGTTTCAGGTCGGCCCGTGGCGCTGTCCTTCTCTTGCCTTTTGACCCCTTTTTCTTTCCTCCATTTCTATCACATGGCTGTCTTTGAATCATGGCCAAGATGTAGTGTAATTTTCACCTCCATTTTTCCGGCGTCCATCCTAGCCCAGGCCCTCTGTGTGCTCTTGGCTGGCCTCCTTCCCAGCCTCTCCTCGGTTGGGGCATCCCTCCCTCCTTATTGCCCCAGGGGAGCAGAGATGCTCTGTGGAAATAGCTTTGGAGTTATACAGATCTAGGTTCAAAACCAGTTGTACTCTTACTCGCAGTTACTGACTTGCTTGAGTTTCAATCTCCTCATCTGCAATTGCAGATAAACTGCAGGTCTGTTGCAAAAGTTAAATGACATCATGCACAGTAAATGCCTGAGTGCTTGGAACGTGCTAGAATCACAGCAAAATTAGTATCCGTCCCTTTTTAAGGCACTTCTCCCCTGTCTCTTCTCTTGCCCAGGTTATTTTTTCTGCTCACGAGTTTCCAAAGGTGCCCTGTGATCTCCAGGATCAAATCCAAATTGCCCAAGCAACATTCAGGTAGTAGGCCTTAGCTTTATGTCAATTCTCTGCCTGCTGAAAAGTGCTCCTTGGCTGGCTTTCAAGGTTCCCAGGGTTAAAGCCTCTCCTTTAAAGGCACTGTATCAGGAAGGCTTCTGCTAAAATGCAGGTGCTTTCCCTTTTATGGATTAATTTGTCCCCTTGCTGCGCTGTGACCTGGCAGAGGCAGGACCCTCAGGCAGAACAAATTCCAGTGTGTGGGAGCCAGACAGGAACCCAAATGGGTGTCCTGCAGTGTGTGAGAGAAACGGGCGGCGGAGGTCGGGGAGGGGGGTGTAGGTGGACCCTGAGGCAAACTGGGGATGCTGGCGTATTAGTTTCCTATTGCTTCCTATTACTGCCGTGACAAATGACCACAGACTTGGTGGCGTAAAACAACACAAATCCATTGTCTTATGGTTTGGGAGGTTTGAAGTCCAATGTGGGTGTCACTTCTTGAGTTTGATTCAAACTGCTGTCAAGCCTGTGTTTCTTCTGCAGGCTTTATGGGCCATGCTGTTCACTTCCTTTTTCAGCTTTTATTTTTTTGAGAGAGAGAGAGAGAGAACATGAGTAAAGAGGAGGGGCAGAAGGAGAGGGAGAGGGAGAAGCAGACTTGCCACTGAGCAGGGAGCCCGATGTGGGGCTCGATCCCAGGACCCTGGGATCACGACCTGAGCTGAAGGCAGCCACTTAACCAAATGAGCCACCTAGGTGCCCCCTTTTCCAACTTCTAGAAGCTGTCCTTATCCTTGGCTCATGATCCCAAATTGTGGTCATACATGGTGACCCCTCTTCTCCCTCTGCTTCCCTCATCACACCTCTTTCTTTCTCCTGACATCCACTTTCCCTTAAATAAGAAGCCTCCTCTTATTAATTGGGCCCACCAAGAAAATTCAGGATAATCTCCCTATTTCAAGATCTTTCACTTAATCACATCTGCAAAGTCCTTTTACCAGGTAGGTGGCATCATCCAGCCTCTCACAACTTTTCCAAGGGGAGTCAAGGCCCCCTTGTCAGCTAATTTGAGGACATGCCAGAAGATAGGGCTAGTGCAGCCAGATTTTCTGATTCAGGGGAAAGCTAAAAAAATCCATTTTTTTTTTAAGATTTTATTTATTTATTTGACAGAGAGAGACACAGTGAAAGAGGGAACACAAGCAGGGGGAGTGGGAGTGGGAGAAGCAGGCTTCCCGCTGAGTAGGGAGCCCGATGCGGGACTCGATCCCAGGACCCTGGGACCATGACCCTAGCTGAAGGCAGATGCTTAACCATCTGAGTCACCCAGGTGCCCCAAAAATCCAGGTTTTTATGTGGAATCTCCTGATTGTTTTTGACAGAGGCTGAGTCCAATTCTTAAAAATACAGCATGGTGTGGGCTCCTGCTGCAGATCATATATGATGGGTGTATTTGTTTCCTAGGACAAATTGCCAGAAATCTGAATGGCTTAAAACAATAGGAATGTATTCTGGCACAGTTACGGAGCCTAGATGTTTGAAATCAAGGTGTCAGAGCATGGCCACACTCTCGCTGAAGGCCACAGGGAAGGATCCTTCCTCGCATCTTGTAGCTTCTGGTGGCTTCTGGCAAGCCCTGGGGTACAGTGGCTTGTGGGCTGCATCACTCCAATCTCTGCCTGCATTCTCACGTGGCGTTCTCCCTGCGTGTCTGTGTCTGTGCCCAAACTGCCCTCTTCTTTCTGCCTTATTCTAAAGATACCAGTCACTGGAGTAGAGCCGACCCTAATCCAGCATGCCTTCTTCTTAACTCGATTACATTTGCAAAGACCTCCTTTCCAAATAAGATCACCTCCACAGGCACTGGGGGTTATGACTTGCACATACCTTCTTGGGGGATGAAATTCAGCCCATTACAATAGGTCTTGCTATCCACATGTAGCCATCAGACCTTGATCTTGAGATTTCTGTCTCAAGATGGGACTCAGGAATGGGACATAGGACTGGTGCATCTTGAATGGGCTTTGGTAAAGGTCTGGGATGGGGGTTCATCGCAATGGGCAGTCCCTGGTCAGGGGTGCCCTTGAGAGGAGCGTCAGACGTGGTGCGGGCGCTGCCCCAGAGTGGCTGTGGTGACAGTCAGCATGGGTCTGTCTGACCCCGGTACCCCTCCTGTCCCCGTGCCATGCTTGCCCACGCCCCATGGTCTGCCTCTGCTTTGGGCCTGTATTGCTGATCCCAGCTTGACTCTCAGGCTTTAATGTGTATAGTTGCAGCTCTGATCCTCTGATTCTCAACTCTGGCTACACTGAGGAAGCCCTTGCAGATGGGGGGGATCCTTCCTAGTGAATCAGACTGCCCCAGGGCTGAGTTGAGCAGATGGAAGACAAAGAGGAAAGGGTTTGCCTCTCTTTGCTGGAAGGCGCGTTTCTTACGGGGTCCTCTCTATCTGTGTCACCCTGTTAAGCCTCTCCTGCCCACAACAAAGAGTCCCCTAAGCAGGCTTCTAACTTAGTACTTCATGCCAGGTATTTAAAATCTATCATACAGGTTTTCTTAGTTAATTTATATTTAGGCTGTCACAAATAACCATAAATTTAGTAGCTTAAATAATACAAATTTTGAAACTCCTATAACACTGTATGTTAACTATGCTGGAATTAAAAAACACTTAACAAAACAAAATATAATACAAATTTATTAGCTTACAGTTCTAGAGGTCAGAAGTCCAAAATGGGTCTAACTGAGCCAAAATTGAGATGTCAGCAGGCCTGCTAGAGGCTCTGGGGGAGAATCTGTTTCCCTGCCTTTTACAGCTTCTGGTGTCCCTGCCCACCGCCCCCCACCGCCACTTCCATCTTCAAAGCCAACGGTAGCAGGTGACACTTTTCTCCCACCACACCCTCTGACTTCCTCTTCTGTCGTCTTCTTCCACATTTCAGGACCCTTGTGGTTACATTGGGCCCACCTGGGTAGTCCAGAGTACTCACCCTTTTTTAAAGCATTGTGTCATGTACAGAATTGTTGAATCACTATGTTGTGCACTTGAAGCTAATATAACATGGTATGTCACCTAAACTTAAATAACACAAATTTTTTTTAAAAATGAGAAAATAAAGTCAGCTGATTAGCAGCCTTAATTCCCCTTTTCTATGAAGAATAAAATTCACAGGTTCCGGGGGGTAGGGTACGGATATCTCTGTGTGGGGTTGAGGGGGGTACTTTCTTCTGCCTGCCACAGAGACCTGTGAGATGGTGGGGGAGGTAGGCCTGGGGTAACCAGTTTAATCAAGATCGTATGGCCAACGTGTGGCTGAGAACTCCTGCCTGAGTTTTCTGCCTCTATAACCTTCGGAAGGAATGGAACAATGAGTTTCCTGGAACACATTTCCCCCTTCTGTATAATCCATAGTTGTATGGCTTCATGGTAACCCTGCTAATTGTCCTCTTTTACCCCTTAGGGTTCCGATTCTTTAGAAAATCAGCATTCCTTTCCCTGCAAAGGAATCTTAAAAGAGCACCTTAGATTTTCCACCACACTGTCCCGTCCTGGGAGGTGGGGAAGAACCATTGTCAGAAGGACACTGTGTGGAAGGTGCTGGTAGAGCAGGTGAAACGGGGCCACCTTTTTCAGACCAGAAGTCATTTCCTCGGAGTCAGTGTGAACGGTCATTTTGGCAATTTAGACTAGGGCCTTCGTGGTGGAGCGTTTTTGTGTTTTATCCATTAGATGAGGCAAGACTGCTTTGACATATTCTCTCCCCACAAAAGAAATCTTGGCATATGCCCTCTATAGTATTATTCTCTGGGTTTGATTAGCCAGGGACAAAGAGGTAATTGTGAGTGGCCTGTGTGTGAGCTGGCTCTTTTTAGGTTGTGGGGAGGGAGAGGCGGGCTTCTCTTTCTCTCATCCGGCCCTTTCTTAGCTTTCAAAATGACCTGGTTTTCTTAATAAGCATCATTAGAAATACACTTTGTAAAAGAAAGAAGATTCCTGTAAGATCAGTTCAACATAAAGGAATTATCTCCACACTTAAACACTTACACATTGTAAATGATCATAGATGAATCTCTCAGTGGCTTCTTTCTCTAAAAGTTCAAACAGCTGGAGCTATAAATCAGGAATAGAAGATAAAAATGGAAAGGAAGATGAAAGCTACATCTATAAGATGTCAACTCACTGTTATTTCCTCAAGGGAGCTTTTTGTTTCATTGCAAGATCACACTGCTAAAACCTGACATACTGTCTTACACAAGGCCATGTAAATCATACGTAGTGAGAGTGGATGGCCTGGCCTCACTTTTCCATTCCTTAGTTTTAAGCCAATATGATATTTTGAGCCATAAGAACATAAACATATTTTTTTCCTAACAGGTAGAACTCAGCAATGTTTAAGACAGTGGATATGGAAATGCAGTCTGTAATGATTTCAGGTATGGGATATTCTTGATCATGGTGAATTCTGGAAGGAAAAATTCATAGCAGGATTCTCCCCTTAGGCTGCCTGGATCACTTACAACCCTTTGTCCCTACCTCTTTGGAAGACGCCTTTGGCCACATCGGACACCTCTAGGAGCGTCGATGGGGCCTCACCTTCATTTCCGTGTTGAGTCTCGTGCCCTCTTAGGCTTCATTGGCCCTTTATCTGGCAGGACGGGTAGGGGTGCACTCACCCGCTCAGTGAAATCATCTCCCGAGTAGTCAGGAGTTGAGGTGATGTAAGTGTCCTCAGCGATGAGACAGACAGTGGCCTTCTCAGTTGCGCCTGCCGCCCACAGGATGCCAGCCAGTGCCGCAGCCAGGCCCTGCTCCTGCTCCCGTTTGCTTATTGCACATAAACTACAACACAGGACGTTGGGTAGGAAGACAGTGGTGTGAACAGTCACCGAGCTGAACGCGAGGCGCCTCCACCTTGAAGTCCCCTTCTGCACACCAGGCGGGTCTGTTTGGTTCCTTCCTCAGCCTAGCCCATGAGAATGTCATGGGAACTGGTATCCTCACAGATTATTTCTCACCAGTGCCCCCCTGTAAGTCATCGCCCCTCTTGAGTCCCCACCAATGTCCCCTCTCCTGAACTCCAGCAGAGACTAATCCAAATTTTTAACCCAATAACAGGCCCTTTGCAAGTGTGACCCCAAACAATCCTTGCAGTGCTATCTCCCAGTGATATTTTGCAAACCCGATGGCCCACATGGACCAGTGCCCCGAACATACTTGCCACATTTCACCTCCATGCCTTGGCTTGTGCCCTGGTGCACCTTTAACGAGCTAGTCTTGTATGTCCTGCCAGATCGTGTCCATCCTACGCCTGGCTGGAGGCCCACCACATGTCGCCCTCACTGACTTGTAGCTTACGTTCACCTGGCACTCACTGCCCCTAGCATTGTTCTAAGTGCTTCATACATGTCACCTCATTTCATCCTCACTTCAACCTTGTGAAGTAGATGCTACTGTTCCTCGCATTTTAGGGAGGAAGAAAGAAAGAGAGGTTGAGTAATTGGCCCCCGGTCATTCACCTTGAAAGTGGTAGAGCAGTGACCTGAAATCAGGCAGCCGGGCCCCCTGACTCCCTGCTCTTCACCATTATAGTCTAGGGAGTAATCCCAGGCTGTCAGGATTTCCCAGGAGATGGGAGCCAGTCTTTATGTGGTAGACCTTTACTAGGCTGGTTTTCTAAATATTTAACACTGACAGCTGTTGGAGAAACACATGATAGGGGTTCATGAATGAACTCAGCCATGATTTCTATCATCCTTCTAGCCCTGTGGCGATACAGGAATGAGTAACAAGGAGTTCCATACTCCAAAACCCTAGTCTGAGGAGGTGGATGAGAATAAAACAAAGTGCTATGACAGTACCGAAGAGGGAGACAGGACTTGTGACTGAGAAGATTCAGGAAGTCTTCGTGGAGCAGGTCTATGAGAGCGGTTCCTTGTTACCACATATTTAATATCTGCCGCACGCCAGGCTCTGTGCTAAATGCTTTGTGTGTGTAGCAAACGTGCGTGTGTTTCATCTAGATTCCCTGAGGTCCCTTTTACTTAGTTGGTGGGCGCCTCCCCCGGCTGCCTTGGGGGGCTGCTACCAGTGGCTCCTACTTTTCACCTTCCTCTCAAGAGTTGGAGTGACTTTGCCTGGGAGTGATAAGGAGTGATGCCTGCCTTTCCACGGATGGCTCAAAGCCCGTGGCTGCCTGGGGGGGGGGCGGGGGGGGGAAGCACAAAGGCCCCACTTCCTTCTTTGGAGATGGGGCAGCTGAGGTTGCCGAGCTCCCATGGGATCAGACTGAGGCTGGATATCGCTGGAGACCACATCTTCTGCTTCTCTTTCCCTATCCTGCTTCCCTCGCTCCTACAGGTTCCTCCTGAGGGCCAAAGGGGAGCAAGTCTTGCCACCCAACGTATATCTCTTTGGCATACTGATTATTTTAAGCTGGTTATTTAAAAACAACCAAACTACAGACTCAAGAGAAGATCTGAAAACTCAGAAGTTAGCCTTTTGTAAAAGACATTTTAAGGGAAAACTCCATTTGTAAGGGTATCTCCCTCCCCGGAGGAGGGGAATGGCTCTCAATCTCTAGAAACTCCTATCAGTAGAGAATGCACTGATGTAAATCTGCATAACCACCTTACCCTTGTTTACTGTGCTTTTCCTGGTAACCTCCCATAACGGACTCCCACCCCCAACATCTTCTTTGGTCTTTAGCTAAAGATGGTATTTAAGGTGATGCCTTTGGCTATTCTGGGGAGTTACTCAGTTTCTCTTGGTCTCTCCCAGGTATAAAGGATATATACATGTTATTAAACTTTGTTTTTCTCCTGTTAATCTGTCTTATGTTAGGTTAATTATTAGACCAGCCAAAGAAGCTAGAAGGGTAAAAGAATTTTTTTTTCCTCTCCAACAGGGCATTTGCTTCATAAATCACTTGTATAAAGAATTCCCACCTCTGGCTCTGCTTCTCAGGAAACTGGCAATTCATGATCTTAGAATAAATTATACATTTAGTTCCTGTTTTGAGGGATAACTTATCCTGCTGAGGGCAGATATATACCTTTTACTTGTTTATATTTCTTCTCATACCAAGCATAGAGCTTTGCCCATGATGGAGTTTGTTGACTTCTAAGTAAAGTCATTTGAACTGATTTTCTTAAATAGGCAACTACCAAACACTGTATTTTGTCAGCCTGGTTAAATAGGAGAATTAATTCTTCATTTATCAGGGTTTTTTTTTTTTTTTTTTTTTAAACAGCCCTTTTGTTCCTCCTTAATTGTTAGTCTGGCTTTTCCCATCAAATACTGTCAAGTAAGACCAGGTGCGTCACTTCACCTGACAGGACGGTCTGCAGTGGAACATGAAAACTCAACATTATTCCAGCAACCATTGAGAGTGGCTCCAGGAGAGTCCTCCCCAGCCGCAAAGTCCAGTCCCTCCGGGAGAACCAGAGCCATTTTGTCTCGTGAGGCAAGTCCCCTTCCCGAGGCCACCAGGGGATTTTCCCCAGTGACTATTTGGCATGTAAAGGTTCTCATGAAATGGGTAATTCTCTCAAGTAGTTCTAGGCCCCTTACCTGTGAAAGTTACAGTCTTTTCCCTTCCTTGTAAACAGCAAGTATTTGATGATGGATCCTTGTACAGCCATCTGAATGCTTCGGGCACCTCCCTGAAACGGGGAAGATGAATAGTGAGGCATATGAAGGCTGGGAGCAGAGCTTTACAACTGTACTGGAACCCCAGGGGGCCAACAGGACAAAGGAGAACTCTTGGAAATGGATGCCATCTATTCTCCGAAGCCCTTTCCCTCCTGGTATATAACATCCCTAAGCTGAGTGAAGGGGCACCATACTATGTACGTTCTGTGGTCAGATGCCATGGCTGGGCTAGAATCTGCAACAACCACCTTCTTTGTGGAGCCCTGTAGACTGGCACCTGGGGACATGCATCCTCCTCCACCCCACCTCCGCCATGCTCCTGCTTCCTATCCAACTTTTAGATTTGGAAGATGTCGGGAAATTGTTGGCTAGTCCTTGAAATTCTTTGTTACTGGTAATTGATGACATGAATTACTGAGATTTTATATAAGCCAGGAAGAACCTCCTGGATCTCCTCCTGCCTTCACATCCTCAGGGATACTTAGAACTTGGAGAGGAGAGCCAGGAAAACTAGAATTGGGGAGGGCAGTGTGCATGGGGGCGGGGTTTGAGGCTTTGCTACAATCCTGACAGTGAGTTATAATTTTAAACAGCCTCTTATCATTTAAGGTTAAATTTTAAATTATATGAAATATGCTTCCACAAATGATTATAATGAAAACATATATTCTTATGGATGAGAATGGAAGGAAATATGGATAGGGAATATGGGATTAGAATATTTAAAAATTTTTGCCTACTATTACCTTTTCTACTTCCAAAGCAAAAGCCAGGTCAGAAAAAGGATCATGGAACCTGAAATAGGCCTTTTTCCAGTCAGAGCTGAAGACATGGACGGCATTTCCAAAGAGGCTCTGCCGTAACTTCTAAGAGGGGAAATAAAGGATTCAAACAAAAATAATTCTTCTTAGACACACTGCTCATCAAACGGCCTTAAGTAAGGTGGTAAACTTGTGGAGGTAGGCCTGTCCCCTTCCTACATTCTGGTTTACATTTTACCTTATTCCTCTATCATAACTGTAGAGTCTTGTGCAAAAGAGTTAAACCAGGTTCACTTAGACTATTTTTTAAAAGATTTTATTTATTTATTTGAGAGCGAGAGAGAGAAAACGGTGGGGGGAGGAGCAGAGGGAGAGGGAAAAGCAGATTCCATGCTGGGCAGGGAGCCCGACATGGGGCTAGAACCCAGGACCCTGAGATCATGACCTGAGCCGAAGTTGGATGCTTAACCAACTGAGCCACCCAGGGGCCCCTAGACTATTTTATCCTGAAGTCTCAGTGTGTCAACTTTGTACCCCGTTGTCCCCATCTGATGTTTGTCCCTTGTGTCTGTCTCACCTTCCATTGCCAGACATCTCTCCTTTATGCCTTGCAGTCCACCATGGGCTGCCGCTCTGCCTTCCTGCCTCTTGTCCCCATCTATGTCCATGACTCTGCAGCCCCTGCCTCTCCCATCTTTGAGTCTTTCTCTCTTGCTCCAGCAACAAGAATCAGACAAGACTCTATGTTTCTAGCTTGAGTACAACATTGATTTAAATGATACTAAACAAGCATTCTCTGTTCTCTTGCCCCAGAATCTTTAAGGTTTTCCTGGAAACTCTATAGCATGTTGAGATTGGAGAGGGTCTTCTAGAGCTTCCCAGAAAAAAATAAGCCTTTATAAACAAAACACATAAAAAAAAAAGGGAATGCATTCATAATCAAGGACATATTCATTGTTTAGCATGTGCTTGGTCCTAGGTGGGATATAGATATGTAAAAAGTCTAATATCCCACAACTATGTACAAGATAGAATGTGTGAAGTTCTGTAAGTATGAAGTAGCTTGAGAGAACAGAGGAAGGAGAACTTCTGACTGGAATACTCAAGAAGGCTTCGTGGAAGATGTGGCATTTGAACTGGGCTGGCAAATGGCATCTAGCATTTATTGAGCATTTTCTATGCACCAGGCACTGGCCTAAGTGCTTTATGTTCATTACGTTAACTTAATTCTTTGACGGAGAAGTATTTGATTAAGTCACCCAGCTGGTAGAAACAGCTGGGCTTTGCGTCCATTCCAACATCACTGCTCTGCCTCCCCGGCTTTAAGTAGGTGTCATCCTATGATTGCTGTCCTTTTTGCATGCCAATCATTATTGAATTAATATCTCTCATTAGCTTGAGCTACTCTCTTATAACTCAGGAAATATCTATTTAATAAGGACTCTTCATATCACATCTTTAAGTGGGAATCAAAACCATTTGTCATATAGAAAAAATAATGGAAATAAAACAATGTTATTCACTTACACTAGAAACTGTTGCCTACGAAAGCGTTGCCTGAGCTCACGATCTTTTTAATTAAAAAAGGAAGTAGGAAGTGTTAAAGAGGTGTCGACATGTGTACCCCTTACAGTCTTTCTCCGGGTCTGCGGAGTGAAGAAGGAGCTAACTTTCCCATGAGGTGACCCAGTCTATTTAATACGTTACTTAATGACATATCCCTAAAAGCCCTCATGCTCCAGCAGAGGCACATATCCCACACCGTGGGACAGACCACACAGTGGCCTGTTGCCTATAATGGAGGGGAGGCTAGATGGAGAAGATCTGCAAACATACACACACACACACACACATGTGCACACATGCGCAGAGTACTCAGAGCATCCAGGGACAGGGAGTGGTTCAGCAGAACTAGGAGACGGTGTGGTGTGTCCATATGTATGCATGTATGTGTGTGTGTGTTCCAGAACCACGGGGCAGGAAGTCTATGGAAGTTGAGACTGGAAAGTACCTTAGGGCTGATCCTGGAAGCCTTGAATATCACATTCACGCATTCAAAGCCAGCTGAAGAGTGTGGACAAAAAGAACAGGCAGCCATTAGGTCCAGACCTAATGGTATCTAAGAAGGACAGATGCAGGAGAAGCCTACATGTGGATTGGTTTTCCCCTTGTCGGACCAGGGTCCAGTTCTGGGGCTGGAGTTTATTTCCTGGCCATCTCTGCTCCCCCCGTCAAAAGATTGCCTCTACAAAGAAATAGCGGCAGGTGCATTTCAGCCTGAGCAAGGGCCCAGGAGTGCACTTGAAGAAAAATAATTTGTCTGGTGTCTCAGGGCAACAGCAAGTCAAGGAGAGAGGATTGCAGGGCATAGAGACTGCTCTTGGAAGACACAGACTCGGTGTGTCCCATGGCCAATGAGCCACCAACCCAGGACATCCTCAGGAGAGGACTGACAATGAATCCAAGTGTTTCCCTGATGCCAGGGCAGCATGAGAAAGACTGAATCCTCCCCGCTCTAGGCTTGAGAAGCCCACTTCTGCACTGCACTGACCACACGCACTTGGACAGACTACCCATCCTTGCTAAGATTTTATTTGCTTATCCTAAAATGCGGATAACCCTTGCTCGGTCCACACTGGGGCTATTGTTGAAAGGGAAGAAGTATGGGCAAGGGCTTTAGGAACCACCGTGGGTGCTGAGTAAATGCAGGGTGTTATTACCTTTGTGAACACACAGCCTGTCTGCTGGAACGCTTTAGGGAAGGAAGTCCCCCCACAGATGGGAAAAGAGCAGAGCTTGGCAGGGGAGGGGAAGGGAAGTTGGGTACAAATGTGAGAGAGTAAGACTGTTGACACTAAGAAGGCTTAGAATTCAAATTCAATCACTAAAACTCTACAAGCCAAACCAAACCCTTGTTTCTGTTGCCGGGTACCACTTCCAACTTAGGGAGCATGCCTGTCCAGATACACCTCAGGCAGGCCTTGAACAGAGGAGCTGCGGGCCGCTCAGACCAGACCTACTGGCCTGCGGCACAGGCAAGGTGACTCATCTTGCCTATATAACAGTTCCCTTCATATCAAATATAATTTATCACAAGATTAGCCTGGTATATTCAATGATAGGCATAAGTCATTGTGCTGCCTGGTAACTAGACACAAATATGGTAAATGGTCCTAATAAATGACTCTAAGGATCATTATTATTTAACACAATCAAGCACGGTTTATAGTTTTTCTCTTTTCACTTTGTTAGTTTTCGAGGATTTGTAATGAATACCTCTCTTTCCTGATCGCTATGATGATGATAATGATGATGATCATTATCTCACATGTTCTCACACACACATACACACACTCATGCACTCACACTCACATACACACTCACACACATGCACACGTTCACACACTCATGCAGAAGAACACAGTGGTCCTGGATCATTCTTCCAGACACATGTAATTTCCTTGCCCTGACTGCCTTGTGTCTGGTCCCTGGACTTAGACTTTCCCTGTGACAATCTTGCCTGTCCAGATGGGAGCATCTCCGTGCCTGCCCCCACCACCAACATGAGGTAGAATAACCCTTTTTGAAGCTTTTCTCTAAATCTTGTCTTGCCTTAGATATTACCAGCTCATCACGGAATTAGAGATTTTTAGAATTAGCGAGTCCTAAGAAACATTGTTCTCCTAGCCTGTCAAATAGAGTGGTAGACTCTTGACTTGATCACCTTCACCATGGATTCCTCAGCATCTGGTGCAGAGACTGGTACATAATGGGTTCGCAATAAGCATTTGCTGAATTTAGAAAAAAAATCTATTTGGCCCTTTCCTTTTACAATTAAAAGATTTGGGGTGCAGAGCAGTTACATGTATGCCCAAGGTCAAGTATTTTGTAAATGGCAGCTCCAGGACCCCAGTGCAAACCTTCCAACTTGTACCATAAGAGTCTCAGCAGGAAAACAGGTGGTGCACGGAAGTCGGGATGATGAACTCGAGGAGAGTTTAAGACTGGGACGATCTACAAAGATGTGGGCTGCATGTGGGGAAACCACAGCGGCTAATGCAGGGTCCCACAGCTAGCAACACTATCTGCCCTAGACCTGAAGGGGGTGGGGGTGGGGGAGGAGAGTGACCTGAACCAGGAAGGAGAAAGTCCCGGGAGAGAACGGCCAGAAGAGAAGAGGGATTCAGCTGGCTACACAGAACCTGGCTTCTTTCCCTTTCCTCCCTCCAGGCTCCCTCCGGGACTCACATTGGTCAAACTCAACAGGAAGCCAGAAGAGGAGGGAGCCCTGTTGATAGAGTCCCTCCCAGGTCAGTTTTGGCAGAAAGCATGGTGGCGAAGGGTAGAGAGTGCCCGTGAGGGGCACACGGATGATACTTGCTGCCCCATACTGAGATGCCTCTTGGGGGGATTGTCCAGACCAGTGAATTAATCAAGCAAACATCCACTGAGGCCCATCTATTGACCAGACCTTATGCTGGGGCACCAGGCTGTGCTTCCCACTTCTAAAAAGCCACCCCCTTGCCTGTTATCCTCCGTGGAAGCTTCATTCATCTGAGTCTCTGCCAGAATATTTTGATCTCCCAGTGTTACATTTTTAATATGATCCTGCTAGGTGGTATTGCAAACACACCAGGGGTTGGTTTATTGGCTGCTGATAAAAGAGGCTATAGGAATGTGTTCCAGGCTGGGTTCTGGAGAAGGGCCTGGTTGTGGAGGAGGATGGGAAAGTGCCCTGGAGGGAAGCAGGCAGTTTTGGGGGGAGGGACGGAGAGGTGCTGGCAGAAGAGCACAGAGAAGGATGCTCACATTCTCTACAATCTTACCTGGGCCGGCAGCCTTGGCCATCAGTCATTACACCTCATTCACTGTAAGATGATTCAGCTGGGGGAAGGAAGAAGGCTGTCGTATTAGAAATGAGTCAAAGTGTGGAAAGAGCCGAGATGCCCTTCAACAGATGAATGGATAAAGAAGATGTGGTCCATACATACATGGAATATTACTCAGCCATCAGAAAGGATGAATACCCAACCTTTTGCATCAACATGGATGGGACTGGAGGAGATTATGCTAAGAGAAATAAGTCAAGCAGAGAAAGTCAATTATCATATGGTTTCACTTATTTGTGGAACATAAGGAATAGCATGGAGGACATTAGGAGAAGGAAGGGAAAAATGAAGGGGGGGAAATCAGAGGGGGAGATGAACGATGAGAGACTATGGACTCCAAGAAACAAACTGAGGGTTTTAGAGGGAAGGGGAGTGGGGGCATGGGTTAGCCCGGTGGAGGGCAAGTACTGCATGGAGCACTGGGTGTTACACACAAACAATGAATCATGGAACACTACATCAAAAACTAATGATGTAATGTAAACATAATTAAAAAAATTAAAAAAAAAAGAAATGAGCCAACAAAAGGTGAGAAACAGGAATGCTGGGGAGAGAGAAGTTTCACACACACACCCCCACCTTTCTCAGCAGATTCCCAGCAAAGAGTGTGTGCCAAAGTCGGGAAATCCCAGGCATCCCTACCCCAAACAGAGGAGGGAAAAGAGAACGGCAGAATGACAACAAAAGGCACTCTCAAGTGAGTATTAGGATTCAATAGCTGTGATAATTTGCCAGGCGGCTGCACTGCCGAAACATCGATTAGAATTGGTCAAGCTTCCAAACCACCTCCCTGGAATACACATATTCAGAATCCCAAGGCTCAGCATCTCAAAATCCCAGGGTGTGTTTAATTAATGCTATTGCTATTTAAAGGACACACTATCATCTGGCCCACATAATGGGAATAAGTCCAAATTCTTTTTTTTTTTTTCCAAGAAAAAAATCAATTATCTGCACTTCTGGGACTTCCTTAACACTCCATCAACTCCGGTTCAGGCTAGAGTGGTCTGATTCTTTTGTCCCCCAGGATTTTCCAAAGGGAGAGAATTACCTTGGAAAAGTCATGGGGGAGGTCTGCAATCACACCACGTTTGTGTCTGTAGATAAGTGGGGGAATTCAGACCCAGGCTCTCTTGCTTCCACAATATAAAGAGAGACTAGAAGACTTTGGAAACATCTGTGAATGCATCTGTGATGCTTTTTTTTTTTTTTTCCTGTTTTTAAAATTTCTATGTGTGTTTTTAAAAATAGATTGCACATTCACATGGTTCCAAATCCAGAGAGTACAAAAAGGTACACTCAGAGAAGACTCCCTCCCACCCATGTCTCCTACCCCATTCTTTCCCTCCACTGTTACATTCCACAATTGCTTCTGGAAGTTCTGTAAGCATATATGGGCAAATACTGATATAGATCCATGGTCTTTCTCTTTTTTTTTTTTTTTAAAGATTTTATTTATTTGACAGAGAGAGACAGCGAGAGCAGGAACACAAGCAGGGGGAGTGGGAGAGGGAGAAGCAGGCTTCCCGCCGAGCAGGGAGCCCGATGTGGGACTCGATCCCAGGACCCTGGGATCATGACCTGAGCTGAAGGCAGACGCTTAACGACTGAGCCACCCAGGCGCCCCTTTCTCTTTTTTCATAGGAAAGGTAGTCTAATTTCCAGATACGTGTAAATTCCAAAATTTACATAGAAATTCATTACAGAGCCAGGAAGACATTCTTATTAAAGATGGTTTGTTAAAAACATTATCTTGTCCAGTAAAATACAGATAGTTACTCTAACTTATGGTTCTATGGCACAGCATAGGCAGAATAATCACTGAGGCTGGAAACTCGAGCAGGAGCCCACGTTCATCGCCTGTCTTCATTCCCTGAAAGGCAAGCCACTCACTAGACACCTAAGACACGAGTTAAGGCACCATCCAGGGGCTGTAAGGCCCATGAGCAAGCACATCATCTCATGAGACCCCGGCTGACCGATCTTCCTGTGACATCCGGCCTTTGAGCAAAAGAGGGAAGGTGGATTGAGGCAGAAAGATTTGTGATAATGAGAAAGAACGGTGGGCCTCCCAGCCCATTTATACTGCAAATATGACAGGAAAGAGAGGTGCTCTATGAAGCCAGTGAGGACATGTCTGATAAAAAAGAACGTGGGGGCTTGGTCCCTATACATGAGGACCGTAAGGAAAGGTGATATTCAGGGCTGGAAATACTGCAGTCAGGGCCAACTCAAAAAGCAGGTGGAGACTGGATGGTTTCCCCAGCAGGGGTTCCAAGCCCCACTCACCCCTCTCAGCAGGAACCCTGTGTGCGGTGCACGGACTGTGGAACTGTAACGTACAAGGAAGGCCTCCTACAGGGCAAGTGCTATTGGTTTTCGCCCAGGTGACCAGTCTGGTCCTGGGTGCTTTCTGCAAGCTTGCACAGGTGTAGGGCAGCCTGCCCTCAGGAAGTGCTGCTTCCAATTCTTGTTCTTGGGGCCCCCAGGAAAAGTCTCTGCCTGAGGCTCCAGGATACAGTGTGCAAGTTAAAGTGTCAGTGTGAAGGTCCTGAGAAGAAATTGTCCCGAGTCTCACTATGACTGAGAGAACTATCTTGGAGGCAATCCAGTCGAAGGGATCTCTCACTCTAGCTGGTCCTTTCCCCCTGGCTTGACCCAGGGCTTAGCTTCCCCAGTTCCCAATCATGCCTCTTTGACTTTGACAGCTGGGCCTTTGGTCCGTTGCCAAGGCATTGGCTCCAGCCCTGGCTTGTCTGCTAGTTCACCTCCTTGCTAGGTCTCTGCCATAGCCCTTTGCCCCTACGCATCCGGTTTGGAATTGAGCAAATGGTCCACAGAACCAGGAGCTTCCAGATCCACTTGAATCCTCAATGTCAGGTTCTTTTCAAATCTGCCTGTTAGTTGGCAGCCCCAGAAAAGCATTTCCTGAGATCAGCTCCTTGCCCCAGCACCAGGCCCGGCACAGGTGCCCCGCCTGCCCCCCACCTGCCCGCGAGGACAGGGCCCTGCCTCACACAGCGACATGGCTTTCTGTGAGTGGTTGGCAGCACTCGTCACCTGTCCTATCTTACCTTATTAAGTGATTTGTTGGAATTCAACTCCCTCACTCCCTCAAAGTTAATCGGCAGACCAAGGAAGTGACTAGAGACTCTCCGAGTTTGGGAGGAAAAGATTGTAACATCACCGATGTCCTTGAAAAATACCATAAATAAGTCATTTTAATTATATTCTCCTTTTACCAATCACAACCGTCTGTAGTCTTATCTTCAATAATACTCTCACATGACAGCAGATAAGATTCCCCAGCCTTGTTGTTTGGGGAAGATTACGTTTCCTTTCATGTTTAATTGACAAGCTATACTTACCGTGGCCATTGCCAGGGAGATAGGAAAGCCGCCGGATTTTGAAGAGATGATAGAGGGTTTGGGGATAGAACAAAGGCTACTTGGTGGCAAATGTCCTTGTCCTTTGGGCTGAGGTATTCCTGTTCTATCTTCAGTTTCATCAGCAGATGTATGGTTGCCTCCATGATTCTGTGTAAAATATCACCACCAAAAAACAAAGCAAACAGAGCTGGTGATGACCTGGTTTCCCCCTTCTCTATCTTTCTCTCTGAAATAGCAGTGTTCAGAAAATATTGTCTCCCTTTTACAGACATCTGAAAATTGTGATAAATAGCAATAAAAGAGGTAGAAAAATCCCGATGTCTGTGTCAAAGGGGTTTCTCATAAGTTTTATGTGACTGGGAGAGGTTAAATGTAACTATGGAAACATAATTAATGCTATCAAGACCTTGACTTGAAGTTATGTTTAGAGAAGAATGTAAATGTCACTGTCTCTTGTTTTGAGAAGACAACATTTTATCAACAATCAATGAATCTTTCCAGTCTATGTGAGGTATTCCTCTCTGTGTAGTTAACTGGCCAGTAAATGAAGTCAGGTTACCTCCTTTTAATTCTCTCAGATTCCTGCTCCCTAATAAGTGAGTTATAATAATTTGTTTCTTTAAAAAATCCATCCCCTACCTTTAAGAAAAAAAATCTATTTTTTACTTTTCTTGACTGATTCTTACGGCATTTAAATATGTTAGCAATAAGTCTTCTTCCAATTTACCTAACTTCTATACTAATGTCGTGAAACAAATCTGCCCTATCGGAGGCTGAAACATGAAGGAAACTGCCTTCTTAGTTCTCTGGATTCCTAGAGGCTAAGATGCTTTCTTATCTCAGAAACACAGCATCCAAATTGCAGACTACTGTTGTGATACGATGCATTCCGTAAACCAAATGGAAAATCTTTACATTTGTAGTGATGGGTTTCCCTCACCTTGTATAAAGCGTAACTTGACATTTATTTATTTTTTTCCTTTCAAAGATAGTTTTATCTTTTGAATATTCTATTCTCCCAAATGGTAGCTATTTCCACTTAATACTTCTAAGACTAAAATGGAAGCATTAAATTCTAATTTAGACTGTGGTTACGAAAGTTTTAGCACAAATAAGGCTTTTGATGACAGGTTACTTGGAGGAAGATGCTTTAAAGTTACAGTTAAAATATTAATAATTCAGTTGTTTGATCATATCATATATTAGTGCCAGGAAAATCACCCTCACATTTTGTGCTGTGTTTGTTCAGAGATTGAATTAATATCTGAAATACCAAGTTCATTACCTTGTAACCTTTTCAGGTTACAGGAGATAAAAAACATCTTTCATTTTATATCGTATAACAGATTTTAAAATACCTAGTAACACCTGAATTCAGTCACCTTTGCCTTATTTGAAAATGATGAAGGAAAACAGTTTTTCAGAAGCTGAATAAAGATGATAGCTACTTTCAAAATTACTTTTCTTCAAGAACAGTGAAGCACTTGGATGTCAGAATCTAGTGTTATTTCACAAGTGTAAGAACTCTAGATTCTAATATTACTTTTTTCTGAAATAATAACCATATGGTACTCTTAATGATGAAAAGTACTTAAAAGTAGGAAGAGATTTTTATGGAAAAAGAAAGCACAAGAAAAGATTTCAACGGGCTTTCTAGTTTTATGTGTTCACACGTTAAATGCCGGGTGCCTGAGTGACATTATGTGCATAGAATAAATGCAGATTATGCCATTAATGTGATTGTTCAAAGAAGCAACTAGAGGAAAACACATTGGTTTTGAGAAAAGTAATTACCTGAAGAGTTGTATTATTGGTTCCCAACCTATAAATGAGAGAGAAAACATCAAGTAAATTACTCAATCCATTCAACCCTCAAACCTCCTCAAACCCAACCTTGCTAGCAAAGACTCTCTCCACAAACGAAGCATCTTAAATGTAAATCTATAATGGAGACTTCTCATGTAGCGAGCATAAAAGCTGATTACTTAAATACCTGAAATCCCTCTGGTTCTAGAGAAACGAGAGAACAAGAACATCTTACCTGTGACAACTAAAGATTTGCCGCCATTTGTCAAGAAATGAAATTTTCCTGGTTATTTCCTCCAAATCCAGCTCCCGGGAGCATTGTTCCTGGTCCGGGACTTGCATAGTCCTTTGGGGAAGGTGGGGAACTGAAGAAGGGAGTTGTTAGGTTGGAAGAGAGAGGTCTGGCAGTGGGGAAGCGAGACGCTGGCCAGCTGGGGGGCAGCCCCGACTTCTGACCAGCAAAGTAGGTGACACCACACAGTTTCTGCTCTGTGCTCTCTGTAAGCCCCTGCTATCAGATCACCATTCAACTTTCATTAGAGGTGGAATACTTGGTGTATTCTGCCCTGTATAGACACCATGAATGTTTAATCCAAGATGCAGATTTATAAACAAAAGGATTGCAATTACTTCTCTGTATTAAAGCAATGGGATAATTTAATTGACGAAGGATACCATCCTGGTGGAACGTGATAGTACTTTATGCTGTCATGCTTCTGTGGACATGTTTGTGGTATAGAAATACTTAGCCACTTAGCCGGGGGGTGGGGGGGTGGGCAGGGGTAAAAGCCATCCTGTTGATATCTAAAAACTGTATCAACTACTGTTGGATCATATGTAGGCCAAGGAAGAAACTGGCCAACAGATGTTTGACATAGTACACAGAAATCTTGCACACAGTTTGAAGAAGGACTGGTTTGATTTGTTTCAGGGAGAGGTATAAAATGATGTCATGTCCTATTGGCTGAAGGAAATGTAGCTGCAATAACTGGCATAATAATGACTATTCATTGTTGTGATGGTTAATTTTTTTTTTTAAGATTTTTTTTTTTTATTTGAGAGAGAGAGAGAGAGAGAAACAGCATGAGAGGGGAGAGGGTCAGAGGGAGAAGCAGGCTCCCCGCCGAGCAGGGAGCCCGATGTGGGACTCGATCCCAGAACTCCGGGACCATGACCTGAGCTGAAGGCAGTCGCTTAACCAACTGAGCCACCCAGGCGCCCATGATGGTTAATTTTATGTGTCGTCTTGTTAGGCTACGGAACCCAGTTTTTGGTCAAACACCAATCTCGATGTTGCTATGAAGGTTTTGTTGTTGTTGTTGTTTGTTTGTTTTTTTAGATGTGCTTAACATTTAAATGGTAGATTTTGAGTAAAGTAGTATATACTTCAAAATGAGGTTGGACCTCAACCAATCAGCTGAAGGCCTTAAGAGAAAAGACTCAGGTCTCCCGGGGAAGAAGGACTCTGCCTCTAAATCGTCTTCAGATGCGTCAACACTTCTCTGAGTCTCCAGCCAGAGAAGTGCCCTGCCCATTTCAGACTTGTCAACCTTCACAATCATGTAAGCCAATTCCTTACAATAAAGACCTCTTTCTCTCTCTCTTTGTCTCTCTCCCTGGAGAGCCCTGAGCAGTACAATAGTGTTTATCAAAAACAAATACTGGGGGTGCCTGGATGGCTCAGTCGGTTAAGTGTCTGCCTTCAGCTCGGGTCATGATCCCAGGGTTCTGGGATCCCGTCCTGCATCGGGCTCCCTGCTCAGTGGGGAGCCTGCTTCTCTCTCTCCCTTTGTCTGCTGTTCCCCCTGCTTGTGCTCTCTCTCTCAAAATAAATAAATAAAATCTTAACAACAACAACAACAACAAATACTGGCTACCAGCAAAAGTTACCTTGTCTCTTTGGATTTGGTTGAATATCAGACCTGAGCCTTGGGAGGTCATTTTCCTCTTTGAACATTTCTGATCAAGAGTTTTGTAAAATCCTGAGAATGCTGAGAGGTCAAGGCAAAGAGGCAATTTGGATTTATTATGACTAGTGTGGTCAGGGCTGAGGGGATTGGTTATGTGTAATACGGCAGAGACCCTAAAACACAGCAAGTCACTAAATCGACCACAGGTGGATTTAGGTGTCCATAGTTTTGCTTTGGATTTCTCTGCCTCCAGTTTCTTAAATGAACTTTTGGTGGTTGTAGGACCATTTCATATTCACAAGTCCCATAAAATTCTATCAGATTTCATATTTTTATTGTAAACATAAGAGGCACAAATAATTCCTTTATTTCCCTTCTCTAAACACAAATCCTTTTTTTTAAGCCTTATGGTCCCCCTCTTTATAATTTTATAGTTTTAATAGTGGCATCAGCATTATTGGGCACTCCCAGTATAGAAAAAAATAAGAAATTATGTGATCCTTGCTCTCAAATAATATAACGAGAAATGTCTCGGATTTCCCTACTTAGAAAGTCATGTTAAAAAATAAATTCTGCATCTTTCATTTAAATTGTTTAACAACCCCAAACCAAGAAAGGAAAGTAGCTAAGAAAGCCTTTATCTTTTTTTTAAATTCAATTCAATTAATTAACATATAATGTATTATTTTTTTCAGGGGTACAGGCCTGTGATTCATCAGTCTTATATAGTACCCAGTGCTCATTACCACACATATCCTGCCCAGTGTCCATCACCCAGTTACCCCATCCCCCTCCCCTCCAGCAACCCTCAATTTGTTTCCTATGATTAAGAGTCTCTTATGATATGTCTCCCTCTCTGGTTTCATCTTGTTTCATTTTTTCCTCTCTTCCCCTATGATCCTCTGCCTTGTTTCTTAAATCTCACATATCAGTGAGATCATAAGAAAGCCTTTTTCTTAAGAATCATTATTAAATCTGTGTATTTTTGTTTGTGTCTCTGTCCTTCTTTACAGACAATTCTGTAAAGGTAGAAGCATAAATCCCAGTGAATAGACAACTTAACCAGTAAACTGTTCTGTTGGGTTTAATAAACATATTTTGAGTATTTCCTATGTGCCAGGCACTTGGAAATGCCAAGGTGAATAAGATGAGGTTCCTGCTCTCTCTAGTGGTGGAAACAGACACACCGAGAGAGGAAAACACTGTGAACACAGCTCAGAAGGCTGTAGGTGCATAGGACATAGGCAGGAGAGCAGAGTGGGTAACAACATGGCCTTTGGGTCCAAACTGCTTAGTTTTGAAGCATGGCTTCGCCTCTTGCTACCTGTATGGCTTCGGACAAGTTATTTAACCTCTCCGTGCCTCAGTTTATTCATCTGTGAAGTGGGGATACTTTCATATCTTTACCATATGAAGACTTCTACTCTGAAAACAGTATGTCACTCCACTTATTTAGACCTGATTTATCTTCCCATTGTTTGATCCCCAGAAGTGGAATGCCTGAGTCAAATGGTATGGTCATTTTAAAGACTTTTGATACATATCCCAACTTTTATCATTGTTGGTGAGCATCCCTTGCTCAACCCCTCTTATTCCTTTTATTCTCAAGTTAGAATTCATGGCTCTGCTCTTTTTTAATAAAAAAAGTACTGCCTTTACTTCCTTACCATTCTCTCCTTTTTCAGTTAGATGTTGTTGATAAGGGCTCTACAGATGGAAAGGGCTGGCCTCTGGAATACACCAAGAGTCAAGAATGCAATTCAGCCACATCCAGAGGAAACCACCCCTCTCTTGGCCATTTTGTCTGGACTTAGAGCAGGAGGCCTGAGTGTAAGAAGTGGGGTAGAAAGGAAAGGTGGGATTGGGGATCCTGGGCCAGGTTGGAAGGACAGGGCAGGAGAGGGGTGCAGAAATATATGGACTCTGGGATTGTCCTTTTCTACATTCTTATGTCCTTGCTCCTACCTCATGGCACGTGAAGTCACCTAAAGCTCCTGTCCCCACACTGTCCCTGCTCAGGCAAAGGATTGGGGCTGAATATGGAGCCCGGGCAGCTCTGCAGTTGGTCTGCAGCAGCACAAGGCAAAAGCATGAACAATGCAGGGACAGTGGGGGAAGAGGAGGATTCTTGCAGCCGTGTAGTGGGGGCAGTGGGTGATGGTGGAGGGTCCGAAATCATTCCCCTATGAAGGAAGTGCACTACGTGAGTGCAGAAACCTGTGTCTGAATCCATTTGGTTTCTTTGTTGATAAATTTGAAAAATAATACCAATGATTGCATGAGAAAAGCTAGTATCTACTCCAAACTTGGAAACTGGTATGTAAAAATGTAATGTGATTAACATTTGTGGTAGCTTCCCAGAAAGCTGTGATTGATCTTTACAGTCCTTTACTCAATCAGCCTTATAGTCAAATTTGAAAACATGGGGCTTGTAAGCGTTTTGACTTGCTTGCAAAATGATCCCCAGCCTTTCTTCTTGCTGTTTTCTTATGATGCTTCATAAACAGAAATCCAGAAGTAAAATTTTAGAAACTTTTTTTTTTTTCAAACAGAATCTCATTAGTATTTAATTAACCTTACCCCTGGAAAGCTCTTCCTTAGGATTAAGTTAAATCCTTTATGCTTTGATTATCATTCATTTTCTTTAGTTCTACTTTCTGTGGAGATGGAAATTTCCTGATTACATTCCTTATTAAAAGAATTCTGCCAGTCCACTGGAAACTAGAAGATGGCTGATATCTTCTCTTTTTGTTCTTTGGTGATGAGATGAGGAGGAGAAAGAGGGAGTCAGGCCCAGTGTCAAACCCCAGGGCCTTCCCCATGACTTGGTAACCTTGGAAAAGTTAGTCTCTCTGAGCTTCATTTGTGGTGGCTCCTTTGGCTTAATTCATAGAATCATAATGAATACAACTTATGTGAAAATTCCTAATCTTTAGCCGATGTTTTCTTGCCTCCTGTATGTTAAAAACTCTCCTTTAAACATTTGATATTTTCATGGCTTTATGTATTTTGAGAGTCACCCCATGGGCATCATGGAGCCCCAGAAGTCAAAGTCCTAAAGTGAGAAAATGCAGATAGTGGTCCCAACCAGTCCCTCAGTTCATGTGGCCTTCGGTTGGTCACTCGCTCATGTGGGCCCCAGTCCTCATCTGAAAGACCTTAAAGACCAGTGTGGTATAATGGGAAATACATATTTGGTTATTGTTCCCCGTTACTGGCACAGAGCTCTTAAAAATTCTTGGAATTTCCTGAGTGACAAAGAGTGATAGGACCACCTGGGACTTTCAGCCCTAGCCCCCAACCTCCAGGGAGGGGATACGGGCCAGAGATCGATTGATCCCCAATAGCCAATGATTTGATCAATCATGCCCGTGTAATTGAAACCTCCATAAAACCCCTAAACATCCGTGTGCCAGAAGGGTGACATACCCC